TCCTCTAAGCATTTTGGACTATGGACAGAGTGGTGAATTTATCCTCAAATGCACGATCCACATAATTTTCACAGTTCAACTTAAATTGAATAAAAATTCTTTTTTTTTCACAATTTCACAATGAACAGAATACCCGTTTGTCCATGAAATTAACTGAGCAGAGAACACTAAGGTTTGCATAATATGTGGAAAAAACTTAATTTACTTGGAAATGATAAATGAAAACCACAAAAATTGAGTTAAAATGCAATGGTAGCGTGTTTGTCAGTGTGATGAGGTAGCAACTCACTTTTTATGCGACAATATTGCAATTTTCTTACGGACCCCTAATTTTTTTTTAAATAAATTATAGCCTATGTTACTCCACGATAATGTAGCTTTCTATCGGTGAAAGAATTTTTTAAATCGGACCAGTAGTTCCGGAGCCTATTCGTTGCAAACCAACAAACAAACAAATTTTACCTCTTTATAATATTCGTATAGATAAAAACAAAGTCCCGCAGACAATTTTCAAGGTAGAGGATCACCGTTGGGGAACCCTATAAGTAGAATGGACCCGTACAATGCATGAATGGTCAGTCTGCGTTGCCTGCGTGAATGTACACTCAACTGAGGTCTGCCCTATAAACAAGCAGAACCATTCTGCCAAAAAATGTAGTAATTGTGGGGGAAAGCACACTGCAAATTACTGAGGTTTTCCTGTCCATAAAGAGTTGAAAAGTCGACTAGGACACCATATAACCACTGCTCGAAATCCTGTTACCCGATGCAATTCTCCATATATATCTTTAGATAGTTCTTTGAAAAATATGTTTTTGGAATGCGAACTGCATTTCACAGCAAAAATACATGCTCTAGCAGCTCCTAGATTATCATAACATTGACGCCATGCTTGTATCAGAAACTAATCCAACAAACAACAACTATTTTTACCGTAATGGCTATACATTTTATGAAACAAACCATACTGATGGCAAAGCTCATGGAAGTACGCATACTGATCAAGAAACGCATCAGGCACTATGAGCTGGCATCATTTTCTAGAGCCTAAATCAGTGGTTCTCAAACTTATTTTGTCTACTGCCAGCAACTTTGGGAATAATTATTTTATTAGTGCCCTCCTTCTTTCACCTATTTAAAAACCACTATAACTTCAAATGTATTTAATTAATTATTGTGACCTACGTATATATGGATATTAACGAAGAAATCTAAACGAAACTTTTAATATAACCCGCAACTTGAAACCTGAGCGCAGTAGGTAACATACAACGGCGCTTAGGTCTCATGTTAACTCTTACGGGCTCCACCTGCCAATAAGAATGATTATTGAAACCTAACTTTATAGTATTATAGTCTCTTACCGCCCCCCTTGAGACCTGCAGCGCCCACAAGGGAGCGTTATCGCCCATTTTGGGAAAGACTGGCCTAAACCAATGCTACATCAATACACATCGTTACCCAAAGCGGTTTAGTATCCGCTGTATACCACGCTTTTTGATTTCCGAAGAAGAATTTGTACATTTCGACCTATTAGGTGCGGCTGGTTACTACAAAGCAAAGTACACCTTTTGTGGATCTCGACTCTTCAACCACAAAAAAAGACAACAGAACAACGCTTTAATAACACCAAAAAACAAGCTCGACTTTTTCTCTCCAGGATTTGAGGGCTTATATGTAGGCCTAATATTGGCCATCAGATCCTTACAAAAAGCCTAACTTGATTGATTTTGCCGTTACAAGAAGAGTACCTAGAGCTCTTGTTCAAGTGGAACACTTAAAATATCTTACATCGGATCCCTCGCTCGTTTCACTTCATCTCATTTCACCATCCACAGCTCTCAAAACGTCCACAGCTTTCGAAATTCCAGTAAAACAGATTCTGCTTGTCTTCTGGGCATATCAACGAACTGCTACGCAATAAGATAAGTTTTCGGAGAAATAAAGAAGCGGCTTAAAACAGCCAAAGCAAACTTTCTTCTACGCAAAGCCCTAGAAGATGAAAAACAATGAAACTCTCCCCAAACAGCAAACAAATTCCACTGTGAAAAACTAAATCGGTCATAAATCCACCAATCGAAAATAAGTCGCCATTACATACACAAAAAGGAGAGTGGGCTCGCAGCAAAGAAGAGAGCGGCCTTCAAACCACTTCCATCAACTAATAGCTTGGTACTTCTAACAAACTTCATTCTAGAAGCTACCCCCGCCTGTGATATTTTAATCAGAATCCACAACAATGAACCAACTCTAACATCCAAAAAGCTGGAAATTGCAAGTCCCAGCCTTCATCATATAGGCCGATCAGTCTCTTGCCGTGCCTATCAAAGATATTTGAAAAGCTGCTCCTGAATCGTATAAAGCAAAAACTACAGTGTCATAATGCCATCTCAAGCCACTAATTTGGTTTCCGCGCAAAACACGGAACCATTGAACAAGTAAACCGAATAACCTCCGAGATACAATTTACATTTGAAAGTCGTGAGTATTGTTCCGCAGTCTTTCTGAATGTCGCCTACGCCTTCGACGGCGTTTGGCTGGACGGCTTGATCTATAAAGTTAAAACATTGCTTCAGTAGAACACCCATAAAATACTGCAGTCATATTTTGTCCATAGAAGTTTCGCAGTACGATGTAAAGATTTCCTCCCTAAATAACATCAAATTGAAGCTGGAGTACCTCAAGGTAGCGTGTTTGGACCAGCGCTACAGCAGACCTTCCGATAACCAGACTTACAACCACCTCAACATTTGCTGATTGACTGGCCGCTAATCCTAGCTGAGAAGTCAACACTTGAGCTTCGTCAAAAGTCCTCCTAATAAAATCTCCATACGTAGACATCGTAGCCTGTTCCAAATTTGCAAATTCCTTCTTAGTCGGCCGTCATCCAATCATATTGCCATGGAGCCATCCTGTCACTGCCGCCAACATTACTCACTTTCATGAGCGTAATCTGCACACTGGACCTTGGGCCCTACTCTGCATAATTCGATCCCAGTATTTGCCTATTGGGGGGAGGAAGACGGTGAGCAAAGTCTTGAACAAATGCGTCAGATGCTTTCGAACGAAGCCTCGACTAGTGGAGCATGTAATGGCGGATCTCCCATCTCCCAAAGGAGCGATTGGATGGAACCCATGCATTTGAAATCACTGGCATTGACTTTTGTGGGGCATTCTTTTACAAGCCGGAAGTGCGAAACAAGGCCCCAGTAAAATGCTGGTAAAAGGCCTGGGTGTCATGAGAGATGGTGGAGATGGAGTTACTCGAGTTGCAATTCTCAAGACAGCATCAGGAGTGACAAAACAAGCAGTAAATAAGCTGTGTCTGCTGTCCCTTAAAGATGCTGTTGAAAGCCAGGCTTCCAACGGGGGGAGTATGTCGGGTCATCCAGCCACAGCAGATAATTTAGGTTCTCTTAATGCAAGCTCTTAGCTTATCTGCATAGTTACCATCCCTCTCTCTCTATCTTTCTATTCGCTCTCTCGTTGCTTGTTGGCTTCTACTTTGGGTCTGAAATTTTCTGATCCGTTTCTAATTCTAACTCTTCCTTTCGATCCCGCGGACCATTTTGTCAACCGCTTTCACTAAATAAAAATTCGCTGCCTTTTCAGAAATCGAACTCTAAAATTGCATGTTTTAATTTAAATAGCTAATAAAAAAGCTTATTAGCCCAAGAATTCCCTTGCAGAGCAAAGGGAATTATAATTTTAGTCAGAAGTTTGCAACGCAGTGAAGGAGACAGCTAAGACCCCATATATACTCGATCAGCACCACGATCTGAATTGAAATATGTCTGTACGTCTGTCCGTCTGTCCTCCTCAGTTTTAAAGCTATATTTCTGAAACTTTTCCAAAAGTTGTGTAGTTATTCCACGCAGTATATAAGTCGGAACGGGGCAGATCGGCCGACTGACTATATCGGACAGCTCCCATACAAGAGAATATAATAAACAATTTTTACGCCGTTGTTTTTGATCTGATCGACTTGATTGTTCCAGATGGAATTATAACATACTTGTTGAATCGAGAAAAAAATTACATTAAAATCCGACAACGTTATTATAAAGCGTAGGAAAGATCGAAAAATCTACATAGAAATAACGTAAATAAAATTATAACATCGTTGTTTTCTTCACACTATATTTCTATTTTTGGAATATAGTTTTCTAACAAATCTTGAATTACGAATAGAATTTCATCAAAATCGGACGACTATATTATATAGCTACCATATGTATGTATTTTATTTGACATATTTGATGACTGCAAGGGTATATAGGTTTCGGTTTGCCGAAGCTAGATTCTTTCTTGTTTTAGACCTTTGTTTTATAAAATAAGGGGTAAACAAAAGGACTCTTCAGAATCGGACTGGAATATTATTTTCAACTTCCACAATCTTGGAAAATATTATGCTAAGATCCGAGAAAAGATGGACAGAAAGTTCTACATCATTGCAAGCATCGGGTAGAGTTTTAAGGGCGCCTTTTACTATCCCCATATAAAGAGGAGAAACTGAACACCAAAGTTTAACAAGCCGACTGTGACAACAATTATATTCGTCACTGTATGTAACTTCTTAGAAAATGGTTTTAATGGGTATTCAACTCAGCAGCTTACTTAAATCAATATCTGGCTTTTACCCAAAAAATCAGATACTCATAATTTATTTCGTGAATTTTATAATTTTACAATTTTTATGCACGATTTTGTGATTCAAAACGTTTTAATACTTTATAAATTAGATAACAATGGCTAAGCAAGCTAATAGTTTGTTTTGAATTTTAACATTTCTATAGTTTTATGATTTAACTAAAAGAAATGTCAAACCGGTCTGTTATCGAAAACAACATGACACAGATTAAACTTGTCGACAAACGAAACAGAAGTTGTACAAATAAAAATCGTATGCACCAAAAGGCTTATAAATCTTTCTACATAAAAATGCTTAAATCTACTTTTAAATTGGTAATTTCTTAACGTCAAGTACACAAGTAACTTACGTTAAATCATGAAATGTCAACTTGCCGTTTGATTTCTTCCTATTAAAACAAGACTTTTGTGCTTTACACAACTACCGGTGGTCTCATACAAAATTTAAATTTCTTTAAGTCCATCTGTATAGTTTCAACAAATATAACTTATGATGATAAAACGTAACTCGTAAACAAAAACAGTGACATCAAAATTGACCTAGTATGACCAAATCAACAATAATACAACAATTCGACTACTCGACCTTTATGCTGTATTCTCATTAGGCCAACGCCAACATCCATGTGCTCGATGGTCTAATTCCACCTTCCAATATGAACATTGTCAAACCGTACGCTTCCTTGCGGTATTAAAACGTTGATATCCACTAATCAAAATTTTTCAACAAAACATTATCATTCACTGCGAAAAAATTAAAAAAATGTTATTAGAACGTTGATTTATCTACATTAACTAATTTATTTTTTATTATTGGCATGGAAGAGAAAAAAATGTAAAATACGCAAATTACGGTTTTTTTCTTTATATGTATATTTAATGGTGAGGAATCTATTAAAAAAAAAAAGAAAAACCCAGGGAATATACACATTCCAAGATGGCGCCATATCTGTAAATGGTAAACATTTTGTCCAAAACAAACATCTTATACACCAATGAAGGAAACAACTACTAACCAGTGCCGGCGTTTGCCAACGCGAGACCCTGGTCCGTGAACCCAAGGTTTCCTAGTAACATTTGGAAAGAAAGTTTGTAGTTGTTTTTTTTTGCTTTGGACCCTCTACTTTTAAATTTTCAACCAGTGTCACGATCGCGTCCCATTTTTCTCTATCTAGATATATCATTCAATCTGTTGTGATTTTGCAGTAAAACACAGCTTTCAAAACATTAACTCTTTACATGGTGGTGATGCATATCTGCATCATACCGTTGAAATTCAATTATTTTTCAACGGGCATTGCAAAACTATCTGAAATCTTTTTAATGCAGTTCAGAAACTTTCGTTTTTTATATAACAAGTGTTAGTCAGTCAGAATTCTGTCCAATACTCAACAGCTGATTACTTTTCTCGCCAATTTGGTAAATGTGGAAATCTGAATTGGTTGTGCAGTTTCTCATCATTCTCAGATAACAAAAAAAAAAATGTGTAGTTGATTTAATTTATATTTTTAAACAAGTAAATATTATATTTAGCTATATCTTGTCGAGTTTTTGTGTTTGTTGCATTATACAGTCGACTCTCGTTAATTTGAAACACGAGGGACTCTTGAAATATTTCGAATTATCGAGTGTTTGAAATATCAAATGGTTCGAAATTTGCGAGAGAAAATAAATAAACCTTCGAATTATTAAGTGTTGGTTAATGTTTATTTATTAATATAAAAATGATAAGAATTAAGAGGTACATTCGTGTACGTACATGTATTCGTAATGTGAATTAATTAATCTTTCGAAAGAACTTTGTTATACTGGTTTGCTTTAAAGCACAATTCTGCTGCTAAAACTGCTCAATAACTTTTTTAAAGAGAAAAAGTGCCTGAAATGCTTTTTCATCACTTTCGTTTTGTAGACATACGTTTTGTAAGGTATCAAATGAGGATCTTGCTTCCTTAACTTACACCTCTGCCAAAGGTTCTTTATACTTTCTAGGGCTCATAGCTAACACTAACTTTTAATATGCATACCAACGAAAGAGTAACAGTAACTGAATAACTACACAAACCAATTCGTAAGAAATGTGTGCGTCAAATGGTCAAACTACATAATCAAAACAAAAACAAAGGCAAGTTTGAACTTGTCGCAAAATTTCCGAATTTTTTTTTCTGCAACTTTGAATTGTCGAGTGTTAGACGCTGATGAGTTCGAATTAACACGTGGCTTTGTTAAATATCAATGATTTTTTCGTTTGAATTACCAAGTGTATGAAAATGTACTGATTTAGTTCGAAATATAAAGAGATTTCGTAGGGACCTCGAGATAACTTTGAATTATAGAGAGGTTCGAATTATCGCAAGTTTGAATTAATGAGAGTCGACTGTAATAAGAATAAATCAACAATTTCGCTTTGTTGCAGATATGCATCAAAGTAGCTTAACACATAAAAAAATACTGCAAATATACGAACTTCACTGGATTCTCCCAAACGGAGTGCGAAAAATGTGTAGTTTTTTTATGTTTCAATAAAAGAAATAATTGCTTTAAAAAATTTACTTTAAATTGACATATTATAAATTACTATATTTTAATATTGAATGAATGTTATTATATTTCTAAAACACATATTAAAAAAATTTTCCTTTTAAGACCTTTTGATGAAGAAATGCATCACACCCCTTTTTGTAAAAAAATAAGGTAAAACCAAAAAAAAATTAAAAAACTAAAAAGAAGTGTATTTTTTATTTTCACTTATCTACCAAACAAAAAAAATGAAGAAAATCGGAGTTATTGCCTTGTAAAGGGTTCAATGAACTCAGTGATCACAAGGCGTGAGTATCGATATATGGTCATCGATATACACATCTTTCAACTATCAATTACATTAAAAAATCTTTTCAAAATGGAACTAAGATGCATTTAAACGTAAACACAAATAAATACACATAACTAATTAACAACGAATACATTTTTTTAATTTACAAGCGCAAAGCCTAGGGCGGTGGTCCAGGTTCGCTTCACACAAAACCGTTACTACTACTAACTACTCCAAAAATTATTGAAAACATCTCCAGCATTGGATCTGGTATTCATTTGATAATTACGTTGATCCCTATGGACGTTTAATTGAACGGTTATTACTATAATATTTCATCAAACAAAAGCTTAAAAAGAATGTTTCCAAACATATAGTCTAAGAAAACATATCATTATCCGACAATCTTGTTACTCTCAGATGAATCGAAACGCTTCAATCTAGAGCTCTGCAACAATAACGTAAAATTTACATCCGACACAAAGTCAATTTTTGTCAACTAAAGCCTTCGAAAAATTTCGTAATTGAATAAACATCTTGCATTATCCTTAATCGAACTATATTGACTTATTGAATTTAATTACCACAAGATAAGAAAATCACTAAATAGGATCAGTCCACTTCTGAGCAAAAAGAAGAATGATACGAATATTAAGAAAGTGCAAGTAGAAGATAAATAAAAAGTATGTAAGAGTGAAGACTGATATTTAATAATGAAAAAATTATTTTATTCTAACAAATTCACATCGAAAATTTATAATATGCGGGCGAGAGCCAGTCACTTGTTAGTGTTCTTGTTTCCTAAAAAACCAAAAGTGATACAGTGGAAATCCAAATGTTTTAAAATGTGAACGGTTTGTCCAGAGCACATTACGAATTTCGAAATAACATTACGTTCTTTTTTTTTTGTCAGTCTGGCAACTATTTTTACAGAAGTTTAATTAGTTTTTCATTCTGATTGCATCACAGTTGTGTTAAGTAAACGAAAGGTAAAGTGGAAAGGATACCATCATACATGTATTATTTTCTTATAACTTATGCCTTTTTTTTTGCCGTTATTATAATCTTGCGTTGATATTAGTATTTAGACTTTTGTTTTTATTACAGCTGTAGAAATGGCCTTTAGAAGCTGGTTTTCGCTGCCCGCTGTCAGAGCCGATGATGAGGAGTTAGTTGATCCTCAAGCAGTTTTAAGAGTGAGAAAAAGGATTTGCACACATTGAAAAAATAATATAAGATGATTTCTATGCTTCAGGAAAAATGTCAAGCTAAAGGTCATATTGAATCCTTGTACAACAAGTACCAAGAGTGCAATGATCGCGTGAATGGGCGTTCCAAGACAACTGAAACGTGTATGGAAGAATTGTTCGATTATGTTGCAGAATTGGATCATTGCGTTGCTCATAGTCTTTTTCCAAAGCTAAAGTAACTGAAAATGAAAGCATATGTACATTTAAATCGTTATAGTACTGCACGAACTTTGACAAATACAAATTAAACCAACCTCGGTAATGTTTGTCCAAATTTTAGGGCTGCGTAATGGTAACAATTTGAAAAAGGAAAGAGTGAGTATTCCTAGGGTGACCAGATCGCTGAGGTGAAAAAAACGGACACGGACAACGGGCAACTCCTCCGCCCCCCAACCCCCCATAGCTCCACCATAAATCCAGGTAGTGCGAAGTGGGAGTGACAAAGAGTAGTCAGTACGAACGGACATGTCAGTTCCCATTTACAGCCTCTGCTGAGGACTTCGGCGGGCAACGGCCAGCCGGTAATGTGCTCCTCAGAGGTAACCGTTTCGTTCTATACCATGCTTTCAATTTTCGTTGTGGAAAGTTGTTTTACAGTTATTTATGGAAAATACGGATATTTACAAATAATCAGAGCTCGCAAATAACAGTTGACCGTTTTTCATCTAGTGCTCTGGGTGCGAGCACAACCGAAAAAGTTCATACTGTCTCGCTCTCGCTCTGAGCAAGAGCCCCTTGCTGTCATCATTTGTGTTTTCTGTTGAGCACTTTTCTTTGAGCTCTTTGCATTTCGGTCTTTCAATGAGCAGTGCGTAAGGAGCAGATCGAGAAACGCTCGCACAATGAGAGTCACCAAAAGACCGATTGACCAAAAAACTTAATGCAAACGGTCTTGGCATTTACACACACACGTTCAATTCACGAAGACGATTAATATATTTCGTCCGCAAAACCGATGTTTTACGATTTGCTTGCCTATACGTGCACTGTATACCAATACATATCGACGCATTTCCGCGACTGTATCGTATGTTGCTTTTTTTCAAAATTGAGATTTTAATGCAAAATTGTTAGGCACCTAATGTCCCACTACCCTGTGAAATATTATAACTGAAAGCCCTATTGTTCCGATAAAAATTAAGTTTCAATTTTATCGTATGTTACAATGTGCGCGCGAAATTATCGTATGTCCATACAAATTTGCATGAAAATACTGCAATCGCACAAAAATACCGAAATACAAAAATAAAGAAAAAGCTTCTCCTGTAAAATTTGATTTTTCTACATACGATACAGTCGCGGAAATGCGTCGATATGCAAAAGACTTTTATTTTCGTCGCTCGTTGCAAAGTGGTCAGCGAATGAGCAGAGCAAAAAGGAAGCACGAAATTGGTTTTCGGTTGAGCACAGACCGTTCGTTCAAGAGACACTCGTTAACGGTTCGTGTCTGACTTTTTCCACAAGTGATGCGCAAAGAACTGTTATTTTGGTGACTGCAAGAAACGGTCAACTGTTATTTGCGAGCTCTGCAAAAAATACGAACTAACAGACACAGAACATAGCTGAAAAAATTGACATGTCACATATGTATGTATGTTTACCTTGGCGTTTGTCAGAACTACAGATGTTATTCAATAAAATCGCAATATTGTTAGATTGTAGATTGCCCCTGCACCAGATTATACAGTCGGCACAGAATTTATTCGGACGCTTACTACTGTAAAGGTCAACTGCATTTTTCACAGAACTTTCCTAATTTTAAAAACTTTTTTTTTACGTATTACAAAAAGAGATATTTTGTGAAGCCAAGAAACAAGAAAGGAAGGTAAGCCGAAGCTTATATACCCTTGCAGACTTCAAATATGTCGAACAAAATACCTCAAGGCTAAACAACATCGAAGCTATGACGACTTTTCTATTAATTTTCCATATTTTCGCTATATGCTATATGATATAGTTGACAGATTCTTTATTCCAAGAATCATGCTTGTCTGATGAAAAACAATGACGTTATAATTTTTTTTATTTGTATACATATTTATATTTTTCGATCTTTCCTATGGCAGCTATATGATAGCGTTATCTGATTTTGATAATTAATAGATTCAATAGTAGTTAGAAAACGCCATCTGGAAGAAATCGACTTGATCTGATCAGAACCAACGGCGTGAGAATTTTTATTTAATTCTCTTGTCTGGGAGCTATCCGATATAGTCGGCCGATCTGGCCCATTCCGATTTATATACTTCGTGCAATAACCACACAACTTTTGGGAAAGTTTCAGTGGCCACTTCAGACCCCATAAAGTATATACAGTAGAATCCTGTTATAACTACTCCGCTTATAGTGTCCGTCCGGGTTGTGCGACGAAAACTCGATGGTTTGGTTGGTCTCCATACAAACTTTTATGAAAGGGCCTCCTCGCTTAGTGCGTTTCCGCTTTTAGCGACAAACCGCTTATACGAACGAAATTTTTCAAGAAAATTTAAAAAATTAACCGGATATTGCGTCGTGCAGAAAAAAATACATTGCAATAGTGCTAAATTTAAGCATCAAAACACGCTGTTAGAAATGTATTTATTTATTAGTGATCGGCACCTTTGCTTGTGTGCGTAGCGGCGACACGAAGGATCTTACACTGTCACTCCTCTTTGTTAGTTTTAGCTGTCGCCTTAACTACGCTGCTGCGAGAGAAAGAGTCGAAGTGCAATGCCGACGTCACACTGCGTGTGCAGACCTTATTGCCTATTCCATGAGATGTCCCGTTATATTTCTAGTTTTTTCTGTTTTTTTCCGAGTTAAACTAAAAGCGTAAATTCCGCAAATGCAAAATATGCAATAATAAGCTCACTCAGTTTTTAGTATTATGAGAAACCCATGCCTTTGAATTAAATTTATTAAATTTTAAGTTTAACGACGAAAAATCGTCGGTCCCTTGAAAGTCGCTATAACAGGATTCGACTGTATATTCTTGTTCAGTCTTTCCGTCTTTCCTCTTGTCTGTTTCTACGCAAACTACAGTAGAATCCGGTTCTATCGACTTTCAAGGGACCGACGATTTTTCGTCGTTATACGCGGAAGACGCACTAAGCAAAAGGAAAAACAATTTTTTGAAGTGAAACTTCTTTAGGCGCGTTATGAATTTTCGGGGACGGAGTAAAACCGATTCATGACCGTCACGAAAAAGCGAGGATCCCCATCCCTTTCTAACCGCTGACGAACGATGTCTCTATCCTTTCTCGCTCTCAGCGCTCTCGCACAAAGTTGAGAGCGTAAAAATCTACAAATAGAATGCAGTTGCAGTTGAAAAAGGGGTGAGAGGTGTAAATGTCAAAAGGAATTCAAATCGAACAGGTTGCATACAGATATTAATTGGCACCATAATTTCTATCCATTTTATTTGACCTAGAAATGAAAACACATATCGATATGTATTTGTCTTCTTCTTCTTTTCAATCGGTTTGTTAACTTTTGAGAGTCGCCAGCACATTTCGAGACCTCTAAAATTAAGCGTCTAAAAAGGCTTTTATTCGGTTTCCTACAGAATTTCAATTTTAAAAATGAGTAGTGATGAAGAAATTTCACTTCTGTCGTGCGTAGGCTGGACACACCCCTTTTTTTTGTTTGTTTATTTATGGTTGCCGTTCTCGTAATAGGTTCTTAAAACAAATCAAATTAATTTTTAATTAAAACTAAAAATTTAATAAATTTAATTCAAAAACATGGGTTTCTCATAATACTGAAAACTGAATGAGCTTATTATTGCACATATTGCATTAGGCGAATTCACACATTCAGTTTTACTCGAAAAAAAGCAGAAAAAACTAGAAATATAATGGGACATTTCATGGAATAAGCTATAATGTATGCACACGCAGTGTGACGTCGACATTGCACTTCGAATCTCTCTATCTCTCGCAGCAGCGTTGTTAAAGCAAAAACTAATAGAGATTGGTTACAGTTTAAAAACCTTCGTGTCGCTGCTACGCTCACACGCAAGGGTACCGATCACTGATAAATACATACATTTCTAACAGCGTGTTTTAAGCTTAGATTTGGCAGTATAGCACTGTATTTTTTTTCTCGCTAAAAGCGGAAACGCACTAAGCGGAGGCCATTTCATATAAGTTTGTATGGGGACCAACCAAACCATCTAGTTTTCGTCGCACAACCCGGACGGACACTATAAGCGGAGTCCTTATAAATGGATTCTACTGTAGTTGCTGGAACTTTACCAAAAGTTGTGTAGTTATTGCATGCAGTATATGTTTCCTATGGCAGCTATATAATAGAGTTATCCGATTTTAATAAAATTTAATCCGAAATTCAATAGTAGTTAGAAAACGCCAGCTGGAAGAAATCAAGTCGATCTGTATTTCATTCTCTCGTATGGGAGCTGTCCGATATAGTCGGTCGATCCGGCCCGTTCCGACTTATATAATGCGTGCAATCTTTACACAACTTTTGCTAACATTTCAGCAAGATAGCTTTAATATAATACTAAGAGACTAGTTAGAGAAGCAGACAGACGGACAGATGTACAGACGTAATTCGATTCTGATCGTGATGCTGATCAAGAATATAGTTACTTTATGGAGTCTGAGCAGTCTCCTTCACTGCGTTGTTCTGACTGAAATTATAATACCCTTTGCTCTGCAAGGGTATAAAAACTGCCAAAATTGGGGCACAAAAATTATTCGTACACCTTCCATTTATTATCTATTATTTCCGATTACAACACAAATCGGTGGTTTTTTTTTGTTCTTACTTGGAATCACATTGTGAGGAGTCGTAAAACTCCCCACATATGCAGGTGCAGAGGAAACTCCACATGGCAACAGCGGAAGGAGCTGGTGCGGAAGAGTGGGTACCAAAAAGGGAAATGTCGGTACCGCTTTGGACCTTGGACTCCATCGAGGTCGAACGGTGAATCTGCGGACTTTGGACCGACATAACGGTGAGTCTGCGGACTTCGGCCCCGCACAAAGAGGAGACACCGCGAATTAACGGGACCTCGATGCACTTTTGACCCGATTACGTGTTAGAAAGGATAACGGGACCCGCAGACCGGTACCCGAAAGACTCGGCAAGGCAGAGGACGCGAGATAGGCGTGCCGCCGCAGAAGTCGACTCGGGAGTCATCACCGGCGTCAACGAGGGCGATATAGTCGCCAGACAGCAGCGTTAAAGATCAAGTCAACTATATAAACCGAGAAACAATAATCCAATCTCCCTATTGCTAAATCTAACCCCATTTCTCTG